TAGTGCTTGCTACGAATCATATGAATGATTACATAGCTACATCGTCTATGTGTTATCCTACGGACTTATTGAGTCTTGTAATATAAGGTGACCACTAAGTAAATGTGTTTTTTTAAATCAAAGTCTATTTTTTCATGGACTTTCATCCATTACCTTTTGAAATCCTTAAGGTAGTATCATAATCTCAGGTTCGTAAAACTTCAGATTTGTATTAGCAAAAACTGAATCAGGTACAAATTAACTTTGTTTTTATGAAAATTTTTACCTTTCAAGTAGTTTGTAAAGATCGAAACAAAAGTAAACAGGTGGTGCGATGTCAGGACTATATGTTGGATGTGGCAAAACATCCCAACCAAGTTCCAATAATTTTGCCAAGTGGCCAAGATCTGTGATTTCAATGATGAAATACATGGCATTCCAATTTGTCAATTCAGGCCGCCTTTTACAACTGCGTTGTTTAAATTGATTGTTCAGATGGTTGTTAAGAGTCCAAAGTAGGCAATTCCTTTGTAACGTCTCCACACTCCAAACTGATAACAAATTCTTCTTATGATGACTGTCAGCTTTTGACATTTTTTGAGCTGGTTTATGTCACTTGGCCTGCTCCACGATTTTGTTGCTTGATACAATATCAATATGAACATCTCATTTTTTAGTCGTTTAAAACTGGTTCATTTCATTAAGAAGTTTCTTTAGCAAATCCTAGTTGCTAATGCGTCACTTTCTTTCAGTTGTGAGAAATCTATATAGCGAGTTTTAAATATAGCCAAGGCTATGTTATGAAGAATTTTCCATACAAATTCGTTCTAGTTATTGACAAAATCTATGTGGTTGCTGTGCAGTCAGGCATATTTCTCAGGTTGTCAGATAGAAAACCTAACCTAGAAACCGCACAAATGTAAAAAAACGATCTTAGATAATAGGGTCTTTCTGACTCAGGTTCATAACGTACGAGTGACGTTGCAGTTTATGTGTAAAACGTCTGAATGAACAGTAAATACATGATCTTTTGACAGTATTCAGTATGATTCAGTAGCATAATGTATGGAAGTTGGAGCGTAACATGGCTTTGCCATAACACTGGTTAGAATGAGCCCATAACCTTCCGATTGACCACTGCCTTTATTCCTGTGGGTCGCTTATTGAGATACGTGTTATGTATTTTTAATAGTTATCAAAATTCAAGTCAAAATTTATAAAGACCATTTGGAACAAACCAATTTCAATGGTTTTCTATTTATACCACAGGGCATTTGGTATTAGAAATGAATACTTTGCATATATTTAACTAAATATTAGTACATTGTATTCAAATTAACCCAATTTTTTTCAGAGGCTATACCGCTCAACAACGAATGTGGTATCTGCAAAAAACGGCATGATCAACATTTGCTTGCAAAATGCGATGTATGTCATCTCTACTATCATCTCGGTTGCTTGAATCCTCCGTTGACTAGACTGCCTAAAAAGTCTAAATTGTACGGTTGGCAATGTTCAGAATGTGATAAATCTTCTGATTCGGAACCTGATATCACGCAGCCGAAAGCGCCCAGAAAATCCAGGACGAGGTATTTCAAGTGGGGCGATATTTATGCTTATGAAATTGCCTGAAGGGAAATGGGAACTCAGCATGATCAGCATAAGTCGCTAATGAAGTTTTCAGTAGTTTTTGTGTAAATAGAGAGAAGTATTTTATTCTAACCAAAGAAGTGATATATTTATTTGTCTGTGATAGTCAGCTTTATTTGTTGCTTAATGTATATATATTTATTTAGTTAGTAATGTAGATTATATTAATTTAACATATATTTATGTTTGCTATTAAATATTTAATATAATGCATGGTATGCTTTATGAAAATATGTTGATTTATTAAATGGGCTAAATCTTCTAAACTAGAATCTTGCTCTGATTGTTGGATAGTAGAAGTGTTGAATTAAATGATTTTTTTTCCTAATAAGTGATTTTTTCCTCCTTATTGTTTTCCGACCAACTAAAAGTGACTCCAGTTTAGAAGTATGATTTTCTCATTAATAATTATAGTTAATTCTGTATTTTTTTGTCGGTTATTATCTTCTTGGGAGGAGCCTGCTTTAAATGCTTCAAAAAATCGCTTTTTTGAGGAATTTTTAGGGAAGGAAATAAGTATTTAATTGAAACGAGGTTTTTTCCAGGTTTTATTATTACATATGTCAACAATCTTCACAATTTTTTTCATTAAAATATATGACATAATAAGCCGGGTACAAGCATTTTGCCGATGCGCCACGAGCGTGCAGGTCACAATTTTCATCCGAAACAAAAAATTCAAAACAAATATATATTTTCAATAGTATAGATTCTAGTTGAACCTAAAAAATCCAGAAAAAAATGAGAAATTCACCCATTTTTCGCAACTTGAAAAAAAAATCATGTTTTTTTTATACAAAATTTCCCTTTAGATCGTTTAAACAGTGTAATTATAACTTTTTTCAAGTTTTTTTTTAGGTTCAACTAGAATAGAATTTAATCCTGAATTCAATGAAATTTGTCTCGTTTCGATAGGACGTTTAGTTTATTTTCCTATCTTTCCCGCCAATTAGGAAGAATCGAAAAAATTCAAAACCGAGATATCGCTAATCGAAGTTTTTGTTCGGCTCATATACATGCTTTGACGCTTGCTCACTATTTCTTCTGTAACTCCTAAAACAATTTAAATTTTTTTCTGAAATTTTAGGGATATATTCTTGGCTAGTTTTGGAAGACATTTTAGCAAAAAAAATCGATTGTTTTAAAGCCTCTAAAGCAGACTTCCCCCTTAAAGAAGACATCAGATTTACTCTTCTGGGATTTCGACCTCGCATTTTGATAGATTAAACTCTGTATTCAAAACGAATACAGTTAAAATATTGCAGGCCTATGAAATGTGGTTTGATTACAAAATTAATTAAAGTTAGGAAAATAATTTTTGCGCTATGTGACAAAATATAGTGTTTCCAAAGATAGTCCTATGGTTAAGGACTTCCAAGAAATACCCTCTTTTTGCGTTTTTCGTGAACGTTTGTTAGTTTATTTCTACTGATTTTTTTTTTACTATGACAAAGTTTAAATTTTTTAATATAAAAACTGTTTGATTCAAATATCAGGACGGTTTATTTTTTTTATCATATTTAGTGTTGCCAGAGATTTTATCATTCGCCCCATTATATTTTGCCTTATGTGCAGGATAATTATAAATAACTGACATGTTTTTTATTTTAATTTTCAAAGCACAAACAGTTATTGAGTTGAAGACTGCAGGCGAAGGAAAAGTTCACTATTATACCAAAATGGTGTATAATTTTGTCTAAAAATTATTTTTTATACATTTTTATTTTAGAGCCATCATTTAAAACAGGTGCAAGTAATATTTTTAATTACTTTAATTGAACTAGATGTATATGACGTTTTCCATAACACCCATCATTCATCATTTCAGTTAATAAGAATTGTACGCTTTTCAAATAATCTCACTTGTGGCAAATTTTTATTTACTCAGTAATTGTAGGAATTTGAAAAAAAAATTAAAAATAATTGAAATTTAAATATTTTAGATTTGCATTGCTATGTAATTTTCTTTCATTGCTAACTCATTTTGCAGTCTATAACGATTCAGTTGCTATCAAATGGTAGGAATGAGACTGAAGCAGGTCTCCTGTTTTTCTAGTACAATAACTCCTCTCTTTTTTTCATCCAATTTTTATCAATTATTAGTATAAAATCCAAAATCCAAACCAAAATCATATCACGATATTTCTATAAGCGGTTTTTGATTTTGATTTTGATTTTTATACTATTCTTATATTTGCCTAGTTAAATATTATACAGTTATTGCATATAATTCGCAATTAAAAAGTGATAGATTTAAAGTAAATTTCAGAGTATATTAGTTTGATTTGCATCAGGTGTTGACAGTTAATATATCTGTTAAAATTGATAGAAAAAACTGTGCCTCTACAGCGCGCAGCTTTTCATAATTAAACCACTTCTCATAGGCCTATAATATTTTAAGCGGGTGTTTTGTGTATCAACTCTATCTCCTTATCATCACATACCTGACTGTTGTATCCATTACGCGTATATATTTTTAATTTTGAATTTAAATGATCAACGTTAACGTTTTTTTGTTTTTTTGTTATTAGGCAGCTTCAGATTGATACTACTTCGTCATTATTTATCAAATATATTTTGAAAGATACAATCTTGAAATAATGCCTTAAAACAGCGGTCGGGAAACTTTTTTAATCATTATCCCTAAATATTTTAGTCCACTTTGATATTACCTCCTCATTACTGTGTAGCAAATATAGTCAATATCAATTGAAATTACATAATTTTTACTCCCATTTTTATTACATTTGGGGTAATTTAACGCCGGTTTCCCGACCACTGCTTTAAAGTAAATAAGTATATATGAAATGCACATAATTGCTTTTTAAAATTTAGTAGTACGACACTTCTTTAGCATTTATTAACACTTTTTAAAATATTTTGTTTATATTATGTTCTGGTACTTCATTTGTTTTCAGATTCTGGTACTTCATTTGTTTCTCGTTCAAGTTAATTGTTATTGATTGTATGATCGATTTTTTCATACATATTACTTTTGCTTCTGTATCGTAATATAGCTTGTAGCTAGACTAACACTCCAAATCAGTGTTTTCCAACTTGAGGCTCATGTTTCACAATAGGGTAAATTGATAGATAATGGAAAGAGTTAATTCAATAATGGACTTACCTGTCGATTTTTTGGTTATGGAACTAGATATATTTGATAAATTTATTACAAAAAAACTAAATTTATTAAAAAATGTTGGATAAAACTTATTATTTATATTTTAAAAAAGCAACTTTTAAGTTTAGAATTTATATGTTTCATTTTTTTATTTATTTATTTATATATATATATATATATATATATATATATATATTTGCAAATGTGAGACATGGCTTGAATAAGTTTGGGAAACACCGCTGCATTTATTTTTGCAATACTTTACTAACCTTCAGCAGATTATAGCAATTAACTTATTTTACCAAGCATATATCATACAGTAGAATCTTGCTAATACGACACTATTAAAATCCAGAGTTTTAAAAGTAAAAATTTCCTTCTAATTTACACAAAATTGTCCAGAAGCTTCGATCGCTGATGTCGGATTATCGGAAGTGTCGGACTATCGAAGTCTTGAATTAGATAGATTCTACTGTATATAATATTTTTTAACCATATTAACCATATTTTAGAAATTTAGATAGACTGCAGTCTGCAGAATTATATATAGGTAATAGAAAATGTGGTTGAGGTAGTATAAAATAGCGATATAGGTGGTTGTGGCACATTATTAGATATCAGATTTTTGTAAAACAATTTGTACATAACAACAACAACAACAAAGTGTTATGTACATATGTATTATATAACAGTTGTACTATATGCAGTTATCTTATTATTTATCTAAGGATGCAGTTATCTTATTATTTATCTAAGGATGCAGTTATCTTATTATTTATCTAAGGATGCAGTTATCTTATTATTTTAATGGATGCAGCTATCTTATTATTTATCCAAAGATACAGTTACCTTATTATTTTAATGAATGCAGCTATATAGTAAATATGTACTGCACATAAAAAATAATAAAATAGCTGCATTCATTAAAATAATAAGATAACTGTATCTTTGGATAAATAATAAGATAACTGCATCTATTAATATGGTGATGGAATTTTGATGCAGTACATATATTTGGTTCATTTAAGGGTTGCATTCTGGTTTATCATAAAAACAACACGAATCCAGGAAACTGATATAAATTATTACTATACTGGTCTATATCTGGTAAAAATCGACTTGAGATGTTTATTTGTACCAGGCAAAATATACAACTGCATGATAATTGCTAACTAGTTAAATATGCGTGCATTATATTGGCATCCTGTTCAAGAACTATTTTCTATTTATTACTTCTTCATACTGATCATGTTTATTTTATTAGGTACAGCAAAGATGGCACGATAATACCAGCCACTACTCTGGACCAAATCGATAATAGCCTGCACACTGAAGACAAACAGTCTTCTGTGAATAATACTCACACGATTTCGCCTGAAATCAATAATGTTTTGACGACTGAATCTGGTACTGCAGCAGGCAGTGGTTCTTTGAAATTCACTATTAAATCTGTTGACAAATTGGCTGTGGCAGGAGATGCTAATTACACTGCTGAAATTATGAACATATCACAAGGTAAAGAATAAATGAATGAAACTTATCTTTTTCACCAAAAATACCATTTTCAGGTGCATGAACTTTTATTTTGCTATAAAAAGTATTAGCCGATTTGAGATTGTATAGTAACAGCTTTTTTATAAAGGTTATTATATCCTTGTATATAATTCAAAAATTATAGATATTTTGAATGAATCTATTCCATCTTGTCACCATAGAAAAAAATTACTTTTTTTGGTTTTATAATTTGGTTTTATAATATTACTATTTTGTATCTCGGGATAGAGGTTAGTGCAATAATAAAATGATTGCAGATAGTTTTGTAAATAATAATAGTTAATTAATAAAAAGTAAAAACAGTAAAGTTTTATCATTGCAATGAATATTTATATTTTATTTTTACAAGTAGAATCTTTTTCTTTGTTTTGTTGAACTGATATTTCACTTTGTTTGACTAATGTTGTTTATTATAGTATTTTGTTTGAGTATGGTGTATAACTTTAAAGCTTAACACCAAATTAGTATTTTAAAAAGTATAAATGTTAACAATATTTTTTAAGAAAGCATACACTAATTTTGTATTTTATTTATTTTTCTTAAAAGTTACCAATATTTTTATAAATGATCTTGATTTTTTTTCTAGAATCAGATCAAAATGTGGAATTTGTCAAAAAGGCGGCAAAAAGCAAAAGTAATAAAAAATCAAGAAAAGAGAAACGCAATCATTTGGTACAGGAAACTTATTTTCTTCAGCAGCAGCAATCTCTTTCTAATACTACGGAGGAAAACATCACAAATCAGTTTGGAGACAGTTCATTTTTGTCAGAGGGCTCGACATTCAGACCTAGTATTGAAGGTACATGAACTTAAAATATATTTACAATATAATCAAATTGCACATATATCCAAAATTATATTTGAAAATACTTAGTCATAGATGTTCACTATGTATAGTGAGTACATAGTAATAACAATACTATGAAATTATTGGGTTGCTCAGAAAGTAAGTTCGTTTTTTTGTAGACATTTTGGCACGTAATTTTCGTACAATAGACAAATACTTTAATAAATTATGTATTGGCATAATTTTTTGGTCGTAATTGGCAAAAAACTCATCGAAGTGCTTTTTGACCTCCTGATTTGAGGTAAAGGTTTTACCGCTGAACAATTTTTTTAGTGATCGTGTGGGGAAATCAAGCACGCTAGTGTTTAGAGAGAAAAACAATGGGACTTGTCATATATTTTTATATCAGTAATATTTTATAATGAATAAATTTTATATATTTTTATACGATGGGAGTTTATACTTTAATATACACTACTATTCCCACATTGGTGACCTACGACGATTGAAATGAAGACAAAGAGGGAGTTTTATTTTTCGAGGATTTTGAGAAATATAGATTTTTATGCAGCACCATAATCACTGGTCTTCAGAGACGACTTATAAGGTACGTCCAGTCCTCGGTTCATCATAGTTAACGCACTTACTACCTGAACCGGACTTTCGTGGTTACCCATTTTGTATACCCAGACCTCAGTGTTTATTGCTGACAAAAAAATAATTTGAAGCCTAGACTTTTCATTGGAATGCAATTCAACCTCTCCTTGTCCGTTAACTCAACAAATCGTCTTTTGATGCTACCTCCCATTATCGGTGACAGCGACGAGTCAAAACAAAATTTGACATAAATTATTTATTGGATTCCATAATTCTGGACTCTTATGTTAAAGAAACCAATGATCCTGATTTGGATAAAGAGCCTACTTCTTTCTCCGATCGGAACCCATCAGATACGAATGCAACGAATGCGGAAATGGAAACCCATAAATTATGCATTCCAAACATTAAGTAATTCTGATATAACTAATACCAATTAGATCGAGGCTGAATCTTAGAAGTTCACCGACATCGAGGTTCAGGAAGTTCACTACATGACTTATATTCAGAACCATAGGCAGAGTTTGAAGATGATGAAAGGTCGAATTACCTATCATACGGTGGATCTGCCGACGAAACATGGAATTACTAATTGACTAGTACCACTATACTGCTATAATCTACTTTCCCACCATATTTTTATAACGTGTTTCCCTGTATTTTCTTTTTAAACTGTGAGGTCAACACTGGGCAGGGAGTGTGTGGGGAAATGAAGCAGGCTAGTGTTTAGAGAGAAAAACAATGGGACTTGTCATATATTTTCATATCAGTAATATTTTATAATGAATAAATTTTATATATTTTTATATGATGGGAGTTTATAGTTTAATATACATTACTATTCCCACAATCGGAACAAATAATGGTCCGATGATGGCAGGTCTGGAGAATATGATAATGTGGCATTATGCATCAATCAAACTGTAAAAGCTTTTGGCGATGCATCAAACTTATCTGAGGTTTTGTGTCGTCTTGATACCGTGATACCTTAATACCTTGATACTATACCTTGCTTGAGGGTTAATTCTGACCTTTTCTATTGAAGTACATTATTTAGTTGATCCAGCTGATGACATAAGGCATCCACATTATCCGTTATGTTATCTTTAAAAAGCTGAAAAACGAACAACATCTTTAAAATCTCACTAAACATACTGCATCATCCTTTTTGGCGAATTTTAGCTTTGCAACTATTTTGAGCAGGTTTTTCTTTTTTGTTTCATGGGTTCTTTACATCCAATTTGACATTCTTAGTGACAAACCGCTTTAAAACCTGAACATTTTTATAACTTTTCAGAGGCGAATAGCGGGCGCTAGTGCGACGACACAGTTTTCTTTCTATGAGAACCATACATTGAGCTTCGAGGAAAATCCCAGACCTTTTAAGTGGTCTTGAACAGTTAAATTTGATATATTTAAACTCAATGGGATCTCATGTATTATTATTCGTCGGTTTGCATCAACTAATACCTTTCTCGTGTCTTTATCAGCTTCAACCGTACTTCTTGGACGTGGTGTATCTTGGACATCAAAATACTAGAAATGAAATATACCAAACTAGTTTTGGCACTGTTGTACTATCAATACTTCATTTCCATACACATTGCTCAATTTCATTTTTATTTAAACAGTATTTTTACTTATTCTAAAAAGCAAAAGAGTAAAATATGTCAAAAAAGCTGCTTAATTCTTTCTGTATTCAAAGTGGCATGGTATTCAAAATCTACTGCATGTAATTGAATAGAATTTTTACACACAGGCCTTAAAATATAAGTTTTAAAATCATATAATAATTATAGGGCTCAAGTGTGATTTTAGGTTCAAAAAATATAGGTAAAATACGAAGTGACTTTCCGAGAAATCTTTTATAATTAATGCTACATGAAAATAGATGAATAGCCAATAGCAACCTGTCTTAGCAAATTGTACCTATAACCGTTTATACAATTATTTTAGTTTTTATAAAAATCTCTGTAAATATCATTGTCAAATATTTGTATTTTGTTTCAGGCAATGGTGATCCACTAGACACATCAATGTTAACAGATCCTTTAAGCATCAGTCCATCTACAGATGTCCATAAGCAGAATAGGAAAAGACGTAAAGAAAAGCATCGCAATAGGTATTCACCCGATTTTATGAGATCACCATCAAAGGAACACAAGCGCAAACGAAAGAAGAAGTCACAGGATGACATGGAGAATCCTAACGATAGTTCAGGATCTGCTAATAAACCCAGAATCACCATCAAGGTAAGATATTTTCGCAAAAAAATTGACAATGTGATCTATTATCTCGTTACAGCGACTAATTTAAAGAAATTGTTAGAGCCTTTTATTTACCAAATACCATTGTTTGCTTATTTTTAATTTCCCAAAGGAGAAGTTTGTTTTCATCAAAAAATCTGATTTGCTAATGTTATGTTTTCTCGACGTTTCATGCCATTCTGAATCGAATGAAACCAAATTTGGAAAAAGTATGTGTGTGTGTGTGAACAGATTTGTTGCCGTAAATCGACGTTTTCTCAAAAATGGCCGCGACCGATTTCAAAATTTTAAAAACCATTCGATGCATCTCGATGAGGATTAGCGTTTTTCAATTTGTTTCTTTGTAAATAGCAGAAAAGTGAAAAAATTTCGTCTACGGTTTAGTCCGCAATTCTGAATCGATTTTGAAAATAGAAAGATATCGGTTGGAAATCGACCTGATTAGTTTTCAGTTAAGATCGGCCCGGCCGTTTTCATAAGGCGTCAAAAATTTTTTTCGACGATTTCTATGAATTTTTCGTTGACTGTATAGTCTTATAGATCATACTAAAATATTACGGACATACAGCAAAGTCGTTTAATTTAAAAAAATTCGTCAAAGTTTGCAAAAATTACCATCGTTTTTTTGGTGTTTGTCAAAATTAGAACTTATATCAACGTTTTCTTAAAAACGCCTGAACCGATTTCAAAAATTTAAAATTCATTTAATGTATCTCATTGAGGTCTATAGTTTGTCAGCTTTGTGCCACGATCTGCCAAGCCGTTTCTTTGTAATTTGGAAAGAGTGTTAAACTTTTTGTCCACATGTAAGCTCATACTACCGAATCGGTTTTAAAAAATCAAAAACTTTTTGAAAAATATTGGTTGTAAATGATACTGATTAGTTTTAGGTAAAATCCACCGAGCCGTTTTTGAATTTAACTGTTGAAAAAAATTGCCGATTATGAAGTTTTTTCTGGCAATAGATCTTTCTTACCACGGTCTTATAAAACATACTAAAATTTTAAGGCCCTACGACAAATAGTTTAATATTAAAAATTCATCAAAGTTTGAGAAAATATTGTAGTCAAAATTTGTGTCAAAAGTTGCTTTTGTGATGTGAATGAGTCAAACATTATCAAATAATTAAATTTTAAAATAATAAGCTGCAGTTTTAGGGCAAATTCGTACAAGTTTGCAATAATTAGTATCGTTTTTTTCACATTTAAGCTCATACTACCGAATCGATTTAAAAAATCAAAATCGTTTCAAAAGATACATTATAAATATATTTACAGATAATTTAAATGTGTTTGAGAAAAATCTATTCGAAATTGCAATGTTTATATTATACAAGCACGTGTCTGTACATTATAAAATATATTTACAGAGATAATTTAAATGTGTTTGAGAAAAATCTATTCGAAATTGCAATGTTTATATTTAAATTTAATTTAAATTCATTAAATTTAATTAACTTTATTTTTGAAATAAACAGTTGAAAATTTTATCTAAATATCTAAATTTCAATTTTGATTGATCAAGTCAATTCTTACACATTTTGGGAAGTCCATGCAACTTGCCTTAAGGCTAAATGCCACTTCCAAACTAGTTTAAATAATAATGGTCGACTTCTCTACTTATGGATATTTGTGCTCTCCTCTACTCTATGTACATTTAATAAATTAACTTTTTTGATCTATTCACGATTATCCACTAATGATTCTATAGCATATAATTTTAATACCATATAATGCAAACATCTGATGTTTTATTTCAACAGTTCATTTTGTTATTTAGTGTTCAATAAAATAAAATATTTAAAATATCTATACCATATTGAAATTATTGAGCAATACATAGGATACACAAATAAGTATTATTATTTTTTTTTACCAATTGCTTGTTTTTAGATCAAATCAATTCCTCTGCCTGCTGGTGAAGTGGCTTCAACATCAAATCCTCAAATGTTCTATGTGCCAAGTGACAGCAATGATGCTCCTCCTCAACAGCTATCGGTCAGTCAAATAAGCATCACAGGGCCCGAAGCTGGTGAAAATAACATGGAAACAATTGTAAGAAATAAATAATCTCTTAGAAAATTCTTGGATTTATTTTTGAAATTCAGATAAAAATAGTGCATGATAGGACAATCAGATTTATCTAACCAACCTATTGGCAAATTTGTTGACTCTTTGCAACTAATGCGTATTGTTTTGAACTTATTTCAGTTATGATTAGAGTTAAATTAATTTTATTTTATTGAAATTTGCATATCTCCTTATACATTATTTTTTTTTTTTTTTAAGGTAAATGATCAATCACAGCCGCCAGGTACCTTCTTGACTCCTCCTCCTGTAGTGGCTAGAAAAATACCCAACAGAAGATCTTCTACTATGGGTTCGGCAACATCAGGACAAAGGGCAATTAGAACAACACCTCAGCAGGATACTGGTACTCCAACAGGAGATGATATGATGTGTGATGTTTGTTCTAAACCTGGAACCAGCCAGAATACTGTCAGGTGACACTTGAAATTAGACCACAATTTAGGATTGTATTGTATTCATATTTTTGATGTTTAGTATCTGATATCCCCTTTCTTTTGTGAGGATTTAGGCTGAACAGAAACGAGTGGCATTTCACAAGCCTTTTTGAAAATTTGAAGCTTAAAGGAACAAGTTTAATTTTCGTTTTTTTACATTTTCTAACACCTGGGAAACTATGATGTGCAGGGCTGAAAGCTGCAAGACGATGGTTTTCGTACTTAGCACACCAAGAATCCTAGAACAAATTTTTTTAGCCTTACAGGAATACCGTTTTTTTTTTTAAGATTTACTAGTAATAAGTTTGCTACATATATAAAGTCCGTTCAGTGCCTCCATTTAATCTTCGACGTCGTGCAAGAGCCATTCCTTTTTGATAGAAGATCCAGAGGTTCTTTCTTCTAGAATCTAGATGAAGATAATTCAACCATTAGATTTTTTATATTTTTTTATTATTTAGTGTTAGTTACCATTTTAATTTATTATGTTTATTTCAGATGTGATGAATGCCTGAAATGTTATCATTTTACTTGTCTTGATCCACCTGTTAAAAAGTCTCCAAAACGACGTGGCTATTCATGGCATTGCGCTGATTGTGATCCTACGGTAAATAATATAAACTATAATATGAAAGTAGGTATTTATTAACGTTTATATTTTTTCCAAAAAATTCTATTTGTTATTAACTTCTCGTAGGGTAAGTTATAGTAATCGCAAAAGAATCGAAACAGAAATTTTTTGCATAATTTTACATTTCATAGGTTTTTGAACATTTTGTCATACCTTAAAAAAAATCGATGTTTATATGTGTGTGTGCGAGATCGTTTCGGAGATCCAATAAAAAATACAATTTGACAGACAAAAATGATCATTAGACATATGCACATCAAATTATCAAATATTTTATAGATATTTTAATTATTGGTATGGGAAATTCCAGCAATTAGCTTTAAGGCACGATGCCATGCAACACTAGTTCAGTTAATTTTTTTTAAATTATTGAACTTTTTTCAACAGTTGATACACATGCAATATCCAAATGTACAGAATAAATAGTTTTATGTATTTACTTATTGTTTTAATCTTGTTTAATTACAATTATCTCAAGAGAAAAAACAAACTTAATTATTATTTTAACTTTTCAGGAAACTGATTCCACATGAGGTACTTTGATGAAATGAATTCGTATGTATATGAATGTATACAAACAAATAATTTTGTATATGCCCATATATAGTAATTAGGTCTGAAAGATATAGTAAGTATTTAATTTTTAAACATAATTATATATATATATATATATATATATATATATATATATAACAGATGTAACTATGATATTGCTTTTTTTATTTTATGTAATATTTTAATGTGTAAATGATTTAACTGAATGTATCAAATGAAGATTTTTTAATCATTAGACGAAAAGCAAATGTAAATGTATGAATGTTGTCCAAATTTTAATTATTTTTATATATTCTTTATATAAAATATCTGAATCTTTATTTTTATTAGCTTATAGTTACGATATTTTAATATATATGAAGTTAAAACTAATTATACTTTATATAATTGAGTCTCATTCAATTTTAGTTGTAGTCGATAATGAATCACATATAAATAAAAATTGATTTAGTTTCGATTTATCAATCAATAAAAGTTTTGTATTACAAATTCATATTAAATATGAGTAATACATTATACATTTACGTACGTCATTTCAATTCATTTAATGATTAAAAAATTTATTAATAATTGAATGAATTAGTAAGGATTAAAAATGAATTATTGAATTAACGTGTAAATATATAATTGTGAAATTTGGATAACTGTTAAGTGTTTAGTTTGTAATATGAAATGATAAATACAAAAAAATTAAATATGTGTATGCTATTTCATAGTTTTTTCACAGAAACAAGTTTAATTTTAGGTTAAGTATTTTATCAAGGTAAGTGCTAATTTATCTTATTGAAGTTTTTACATTCATGCTACATAGTGTAACATTTTTTTTGCAGATTTTCGATGCTAAATACGTGTGATGAACAATATTAGAGGAAGGAAAAAAAACTACGTCAAAATATGATATTTCAGCAATTTATAAGAACTATAAATGATACAGAACTATTTGGAGAACTATTGAAAGATTTATTAGAATAGTAATGAATTACTATTGTTGATTGATAATAAATATTAAAGACAGATTATTATGCGTTATGTGTTAGAAGACAAATCATTTAAGGGGGGCGATACATGTAATCGCCTTAATTTTTACCATTTTTTGAAGACTTTTTAAACTGGGAAGGAATGATTGAATCTTTTTGAACTTTTTTAGGGTTATTTATTATATATTAAAATACACAAAAAAAATTTTTTTTTATTTTTTTCTTTTTAAATGGCTGCCGTAAAAATAAATCTGCCAAGACCCTCTCGGGAAACGCCATCAATTTGCGGGCGTTCTCACTTTTCGTACGGTGATCTGAATTTAAAAAAATTAGTTTGTACGTGTTCATAAAACATATATCTTCTAGTTAAACCAAAAAAAATTAAAAAGTCACAAAATCGTAAATTGGCACACCTTAGAAAAAAAAAGTTCGATTTTTCACCTTTTTTTCAATGGTTTTTTTTGGTAAAGGGTTAATTTTTGAAACATTTTTTGGAATGTTTGAGGTTTAACTAGAAGCTATTACTGTAAAGTAGATGTGTGCAAAATTTCATTGGAATCGGTTGAGAACTTTTTGAGTTATCCCGCCCGCAAGTTTCAAAAATGTCGTTTGAGAAAAACGCGTTTAAAGTTTTGACACATAGAACAGATAAGGGTTGAGGCGTGGCACTTAAATGAGTTTTTATTGTATAAATAATGATAATTTTGTTTGAATATTTACAGGCATATTTTTGAGATGTTATTGTAACGATTTATGAAAAAAAAAAAAATCGATTTTTTTTTTCTTGTTACATGTATCGCCCCCCTTAATTGTTCAAATATTGCAAATTTTATTCATTTGCCTATTTGATACAAAAGTATCATTTACTAATTAATCTCTGAAATGAAGTCTCAGTTTTAGGTACACACAATTGTGTCAAATTGTGCAAATTTAATTCATTTACATATTTGATACAAAAATGTCATTTACTAATTTATTCCTAAAATGAAGTATATCAGTTTTAGGTACACAAAATTGTGAAGTTTCAATAAAATTAGAAAAATGGAAGAAGTAATACTTTTTGAATGTGGTAATGAAAATAGCAGAAAATAGAAAGAGAATTAAATTCTACTCATATTACATTTTATTCTTTAAGACTGGTTAACTTTATTAACATCGTTTTGTCATATTTTGAGAAGTGAAGTTTTCAAATATTTATTATTAACTTTCCGTAGGGTAAGTATAAGTAATCGCAATAAAATCGAAAATGTAAATTTTTGCATATCTTTACGTTTTATAACATAAAAATGTAAATTTCAGTAACAAATTCTGTAATTATTTTCGGAACTACAGAAGAAATAGTGAGCAAGCGTTCAAGCATGTATACAAGCGGTTTTTAATTTTTCGATTCTTCCAATAAGAAAGATAAGGAAAAAACTAAACATCCTATCGGAACGAGACAAAATTCATTGTTTTCAGTATTGAATTCTATTCTAGTTGAACCTAAAAAAACTTAAGAAAAGTTATAATTAACCCATTTTTTGAACAATCTGAAGTGATTTTTTCAAGCTGCAAAAAGTTGGTGAATTTCTCATTTCTTCTGGACTTTTTAGGTTCAACTAGAATCTATACTATTGAAAATATATGTTTATTTTGATTTTTTTTGTTTTGGATGGAAATTGCGACCTGCATCTTTCCCGCCAAATGACACCTGCATCCTTGTGGCGCATCGGCAAAATGCTCGTACCCGTCATATATTTTAATTAAAAATAATGAGAACAATGTTGAAATATACAATAAAATCTCAAAGTTTCGTTCTAATTAAATATTTATTTCCTTTTCTAAAAATTCCTCTAAAAACCGATTTTTTTATGCCTCCCCACTTAACGATTCCTAATATAATCTTTAAATAGTTTGGCCCTGTCGAGGAACTGTGCATAGTGAGAAACATATCATTGGCAACAATCTATATTTTATGTTTGCGTCAACAACCAAAAACCAACAACAATGACACATATTTATGCCAAATGGATTCTGATTCCATCTTATAATGAATATTGAACGAAAGTTCTATGAAGTCGTTCCCGATCTTTCGGTTATTCATAATTTTACTAATTATTAATAACAAGGGCGCCGATATTTAGACGTAATAATCGTTCCGACATTTCTAGCTCAGAATTTCTAATGATAATTGGAGAACGTTTAACGTATAAATATTTTAGCGTCGTCCATTTTCCACGTACACAATACTTATAGCTACGTATCACAATATAGCAGTGATAGGCCAGTTATTTTTTTCAAAGGTTTGAAAATTCCATGAAAACTCTTACATCGAACTATTTAGTTTTTGCATCATTTAATTAAATATGAAGTGTTATAATTAACTTCTCGTGAGGTAAGGTAAAGTAAAGTAATCGCAAAAAATCGCAACTTTTTATTTGCATATCTTTACGTTTCATAGGTTTCTGAACATTTTGGCATATCTTGGAAAAAATTGATTCATGTGTATGGGTATGTGTGTAGTATGTATATGTATGTATACAATTTTTGTCCACGAAATCGAGAGCACGGATTAACCGATTTGCCTGATTCTGCTTCCAAAAATAATCGCGATTCATATGTTGGAAAGATGTGCTGAGGGGGCGTCTATTAATCACGTGATCGTTTTTCTTTTTAAGGATTCTTGGACCTCCCCTCCCTCTTGGTTATATGTGACGGTATTCAAATTACTTCCCCGTCCCTCACCAAACATCACGGTAAAAATTGTAACATATTTGAGTTTTTTTTTAATGTTTGATTTTTTTTAATTTCAGGTAAAAAATACATACACGACGCGATATTTACTATACCTTCTCTCCCCTTCGTGATATTTTGTGATTCTTTGTGAAACTCTCCCTCTCCCTAAAAACCTCACGTAATTAATTATCGCCCCCTGATTAGTGAACACATGGGTATGCTTTGGCAAAGGCAGGTTCAGCCGTTTCGAAGATATTTAGCAAAATGGCAATTCGGTTTTTGAGAAAACGGAGCATCTAATTAGAATGATTCAAAAATATTTTATTTGTATTGACGGAATGCAAAATTGATTCTTTTTTGGGGAATGCAGGTCCAGTGGTTTTGGTGACCCAGAAAAAAATTAGAATAAATTACATTTGATGGTCGAAAATTATATATGCTCATCAAATGGTCAGTTATTTTTTAGAGATTTTATTAACGACTACAAATTTTGTATCCAATTTTGATTTAAAAAGTAGTCATTTCTTGAGAAAGGCAGCTGTTTCGGAGCTATTATTATTCAAAAAACATTTTTGTGTTGTCAGTGTGAAGAAATGATTTGAAAAAAAAATGAAAATTTCCAAGCAAATTAAAAAAAAAAATTAAAAACATTTCAAAGTTTCAAAAAAAAAAAACGAATCGAAAGATTAAATATTTGAGAACAAATCAACTATTTTTAAGTATTATATAAACTGAATTGCAAAGTTAGAAGTATTTATTTGAAGTATTAAGTGAACTTAAATATTAAAATTGAAAACCAAAATATTTTTGATATTCGAAAAAAAAGAATATTATCTTTAAAATAAATAAATTCTAATAAAAGAAAATAAAAAATTACGAAGAAATAGGAAATTAAAAAGGAATTAGAACAAAAAAAATCTCAAAAACAATCGTTGCGTCAATACAAGCAAAAAATTTTCTGAATCATCCAAATCGAATGCATTTAGCTTTATACTTGTCTTTGCCAAAACTAATAATCTCCCCTTCTTTCCATTATTACGAATTAAATATTTTTTAATCATTCGAATCGGATGCTTTGTTCTCTCAAAAGCTCGATTTCTATTTTCTTGCCTTTGTCAAAAACTAATAAGCAAGTCTCACCATCAATAGGAATCTAATATTTTTTGAATTAAGCAAACGTGGAAAAAAGTTGTATCTCTACACACACCACATCATCATTTTTCTAAGGTTTGCCAAAATGTTCAGAAACCTTTGAAACGTAAAGATATGCAAAAATTCTCAATTTCATTTTTAGACGATAACAATAACGTACCCTACCGAATATTGAATTATTTTGTCACTTGTTATTAAAAGTTTGTTGATTCGTTTGCGGAGTAATTTCT